GCAAGGATTGAAATAAGAAATAAGAATAGTTTCCTATTCCATTTCGTTCCGTCCCAGTGTTCACAGGGATGGACGTCTGTGTCTTCAGCAGGCGTAGAGCTAACAGAACTGGCAGCGTTGCGAGGCAACGGCTCAAACATGTACGGCTGTAAGCCTTCTACACCAAACCAAGCTTCTGCCGCCCTGGCGTCCTCTTCCACAACAACTATGTCCCCTCTTTCCTGCTCTAAATAAAAAATGTATGACGGAGGAGACTCGTCCACGACCTCCGACACTAAACTCTCCTCCTCTTGCATGTTTACGCTGTCCATAGCGTTCCTTGACAGTGTCGTTGCTAACTGCTACTTGGTCCCAATGGAATTTCCCATTAGGAACCTATTAGCACTAAGTTGCTACCTGGGTAACAAGATGCTTTTGAAACACCGGACACAACCAAAAAGCTTGCGAACCTTCCGCCACAACAACCCCGCCCCCTTGATAATCGTCCAATCACATTCACTTTATTCTCTCGTGTAAAGTCGGGCACCACTCTGGAGAACTCGGAAATGCATCGGTTGGAACGGCCGCTTCCCTACGACATTAAAACAACATGGACCTTTTTAAGCTGTCAGCTAAACCAGCAGCTGATTGTCTCCATACTTCATATAGAAAGAGATCTAACCCTGTATTGAATGTTTTACTGGACGGGACCGAGCCAGTCTGTTCTTTAGGCCCACGTTCCCATTTTATTGTATTGTTTCAAACAGTAACTTTTTTTTTTTCTTCTCTCCTTAATTAGGAAAACACGGGTGAGTGTGCTCCGTTTGAAGAGGGTCTGCAGGAGCCACAGGAAGAAGAACAGCCAAAGACTTTGCTAGAAGTAAAAAAGATTTAGCACTTAGTGATTGGACATCTGAGTTTGTTTATTATACTGTATGTTTCCATCTATTGCTGATGTTTCCCTTTTTTAATTTCTAGATGCATCAAGAAAAGATGAAAGAGAAGAAGAAGAAAAAGAAGAATAAAAAGAACAAGAAGCACAGCTCAGACAGCAGCGACTCGGAGGATGAAGAAAAGAAGAAGGAGAAGCTGAAGAAGGTAAACAAGCGTTTTCTGGTGAAAGGATTTTACCGTTTGCATTTTCACTGAGCTCTGCTCGTCATATTACCACCCAGGCCCTGGAAGCGGAGGACAAGCGCGTGAAGCATGTAGATGCGTTGATGCAGATGGATGAGAGGAAGAGGCCCTATTACAGCCTACAGGAAGTTAAGGCGCCGACTGAAGAGGAGATGGAGGCCTTCCGTATGAAACGCAGTCGACCTGATGATCCAATGGCTTCCTTCCTTGGACAGTGACCTCCTCTTAATCCCTGATGATTATCCTAAACGTTCTGCACTCTAGTAGAGTTACAGCTATACTCCATCTCTAATGCTGAACAGGTGTTTGACACCTTCTGTTCCTGTACTTTTCTTGGAGGCATAAAGTTTAGGAGTGATGGCTGTAAACTTTTTTTTATTGTATTTCCTTTTTGACACATCCTAGAACTTTACATCAAAATTCCATAATTTCATTTTGAACAGCGCTATATGTAAAAAGTACTTTAAACTGTTTTTCTTTTCTTTTTTTTTTTTCTTTCTAGAAACCTCTGCATAAGTAAAACTTCTAAAATAATACAAACCAGCTAAAATGTCAAACTTTAATAAAAAAAAAAACCATCAACCTGTGTTAAATGGATTTATCTACTGCACTTGAACTGTTTTTAGAGTTTTGAGTTACATTTTATTTTTAGATATGATCTCGTGCTACATCACAACATTCACAGATTTCTAATATTAAAAATATAGATTTGGGATTTAACTGACATTTTTTAAATCATAGTTGAATAAAATAAAGCTGCAGATTGTGACGTTTTGCAGTTCAGGACAAAAAATATTTTGTTCTCATTGGAGTTAAATGCTCTAACTTTTGAAGCATTAAAATGCAAAACCTGCTCCACACTTTATGAAATTTAAGCTCAACTGAAAAAACAATGTACTAAAAACCTAAAGTGTAACTCACCCCATATGCAAGCATTATCCAACTTTTGTTTTTAAACATGTCACCATAGTACAATGGTTGGTCCTAATGGACCCTAAGGGGAGGGGCTAGGTGTGGGAGTTCAGTGTCAGGATGAGGGGAAATGGAAGCTAGCTTAGTCATATTTAAACATGGAAAATGAGCAGTGATGCCAGAGATCTTTTCAGGTTGAAGAGGGTCATTAATGGTGTAGCGCCTTTGAGGTCAGACAGGGCAAATTGATTGTCTTTTTTTCATTCAGGGATTTTGCCAGTGATCGTATCTGTTTCTTTTTCCCCCTAGGGTGGCTAACCACCTTTCGAAAAAAAGAACTGAACCATATTTAGAAACAATTGAATTTTCCTAATTCATATTTGAGTAAAATATTTCTAAAATCCTCATATAGACAACAGGAAAGCAAACATTTGAGGTAACAACAAAGACAAAGGCCTTGCAAAGAAGTATCCCTTTATTTTCCAAGGAGTTGGCAATCTTGAGTTGTATTAAATTACTTTTCTGCCATTTAACTGTTTATTTTGATTGCAAAAAGTTTAAAAATATTAATTTTAGTCATTGTTTTTTATTGGTAGGGGTTTGAAGAAGTTCAGATTCAACAAAATAAATGACTGTGTGGATATAATAATTGAATAGAATGATCTTTTATTGTCCATCTGGAAATTGATGTCTATCAGCAACAAGGGAAAAGTTTACAACAAAGGAAATGCTGGAGAGCAGAGGTATTCAATAGGGGGTCCGTGACCCCTAAGGGGTCGTGAAAGTTTTGGTTGATTAGACTTTTTTTTTTATATTTCCCTCCTGTAATTTTTTCCACTAATTGAAATGTCTTTAAATCCACATTAAAATGAATTCAACACACTGTAGTAAACAGATAAATGAAAGCAGAAGATGTCCTTCAGTCTTCAATGCACACATTCAGTGACACACAGGAGCTCTTTCAAGCTGGGCACCGTTTCATTCACAACACCCATCAACCAGGAATCAGAATCAGAAATACTTTAATAATCCCCAGGGAGGAATTACTTTTGTTACATTACTCCATCTGTAATAGAGTGACTTTAGGACTAGTTTGATATAACACAATTTCATACAATATATATAATTAGGGGGTCCCTGCTCCATCTCGCCATCAGTTTGGGGGTCCTTGGCCTGGAAAACATTGAAGACCCCTGCTGTACAGTTTTTTGGAAAACAGTGTCCTTGTGCATGTTGTTAATTTAACAGGAAATCGGGCACATATAGAGACCACAATCTGCTGAGCTCAAATCATTCCTCCCCCAAACTCTGTGTATTTTTTTTTTACTATTTATTCCTTTATGACATAAACACATTTCTAATAACCCTTCTGCCTTAGATCCAGTTCTGCAGACCACTTTGTTCAATCAGAATCACACCTACTTATTCATTTCTCGTAGTAACAGTTTGTTGCTGAGTATTGTCATGGCCTCAGCTGTGGTATCCTTGTGAACTGTCTTGAAATTAATGACATCATGCAGGAAATATTCTTTGGGCCCAGCTGTTGCATAAACAGGGCGGATGTTTTGGACTCTGGTTCCCTGGTTCAAGCGGGTCTCTGCAGAGCTTCTCTTGAAGAACATTAAAACAGTTTACTGAACCTTCATGAGGAGAAGCTGCTGCATCTTAATGCTGATAAAAAAAGGAGAAGCAGAGCTGGAAAATAACCCAGAGACGTCATTTCTCAACCAGTGAGTTGATTCTTTATCTTTTTAAAGCTGCAGACTTGTTCCATTTGTAAAACATGTATAGAGCAACTGGCTCCTACTCAGCCTTTAAAAAATAGACTTACAGCTTCTTCAAAGGACTGAGTAAAACCTTAAAAGTAACCACAACTTTAAAATGAATGCTTTCCTGTTTTTAACAGTGGTACTTGCATAGACTCTGTACATTCTGTTCATAGAACAACTTGTTAGTTCCATGTTTTCCTCCTTGCATGCAAAAGCGAATCAAATAGAGGGCCTTTAATAGGTTCTGTCCCTCTTCTTGTGCCTCTGCAGTGGCTGCAGTGCTCCAGATGTGCATGATCGTCTGTTTGCTGCCTGCTGCCATCACCCAGACAACAAATTCCTCATCAAAGAAAGGTCGTAATTACACCATCCATTCCTCTCAGCTGGTTTGCAGTCTGCCTGGCCCGGCAGGACCACCAGGACTGCCAGGAGCTCCTGGACCCCCAGGGTCCATAGGCCCTATGGGTCCACCAGGGTTGGATGGTCCAGACGGAAAAGATGGAGAAAAGGGACAGAAAGGAGATGGAGGTAACTCACTGCAGCTTTACCCAACTTTCAGCGTTAATCTGAGTATTCAAAAATATGTTTCTTTTACTCTATGCTAGTTTTGGCTTAATAATTAGCATGCAGTTTAATAGGGTTTGATAAAATACAGACTAATACTAGATACTTTAAAACAGTCACTGACAGTGTTTATCTTTCACAAAAATCCCAATAATTAATGCTATAGTGTGTGGCTGTTCACAATGTATTGAAAAACCAAATCAAATCTAAAACAGAATTCAGAAGGACCCTAATTCTTGCATATAACTCCTACTTTGCATCTGTTTCCAGTCTAAGACCACCATGTGTTGGGTTGTAAACAAGTTATATTGTGTCTTCCCTCAGGGGATCCAGGAAGAACCGGGAACCCTGGCAAGCCAGGTGTGAAAGGCCGTGAAGGCGTTATCGGCAAGGCAGGACCCCGGGGACTGAGGGGCCAACGTGGACCACCAGGTGTGGCAGGAAAAGAAGGAAAAAAAGGAGAAATGGGAGACAGCGGCCAACAAGGAGCCCCTGGTGGCTGCAACTGTGGCACTGTGGCTCGATCGGCCTTCTCTGTGGCGGTGACAAAGAGTTATCCAAAAGAACGAATGCCAATCCGTTTTAGCCGGATCCTTCTAAATGAAGGGAATCATTATAATTCCACCAGCGGGAAGTTTGTCTGTGAGATCCCCGGGGTCTATTATTTCACCTATGATATAACACTGGCCAATAAACACCTGGCAATTGGACTGGTGCATAATGGTCAGTACAAGATCAAGACATTTGATGCCAACACAGGGAACCATGATGTGGCATCCGGCTCTACTATACTCCACCTCAAAGAGTCAGATCAGGTGTGGCTGCAGATCTTCTACTCAGAGCAGAATGGACTCTTCTTTGACCCTTTCTGGACAGACAGCACCTTCACCGGGTTTCTCATTTACGCTGATCAGGAGTTTCTCAATGAGGCGGATAACAAGGCAAATAGTCAGGATGATAGTTGACGCTCTAGACCTGAATACTCCAGTTTTATCGTCTGATTTATTATAGGGAAGAAATAAGATGCTTCACAATTCTTCCAGCAGTTTAAAAAAAATATCCTGCCACCAGGGGGCGTAACAAGTAAAGAAACTGCTGAAAATCAGAAGGACAAAAAACAAAAGGATTTGATGCTTGCAATGATCCCTTTCATTTCCCTGATATAGAGACAACTTTTAGAAAACGTTTTTCCCCTTTCAAAGACTACTTTCATGGAGGTTATTGTAAATAATATAATAATTTAATTAATTAATCCAAAAATGAGGAGGAAATGCAAACAATATGTGGCTTCAGTCAAATTTATGATTCAAAGAATGGTAAGAACTCCAAACATGTTGAATACATTTTTAAATAATTTAAGTAGTAAAAGTGTTTATAAAAAGCAATAAATTAATTAAAAAGGACATTTTACATATTAGATCTAATAAATTTTCCTTGTTCTGTTATTCTTTTCCACATCAGCTTTGGACCCTTGACCAAAAAGGTAAATCTAAACAAAAGACTGTGAAATTTTAGCTTGTCTTTTTTCTTAACATCCGATCAGAAAGTAAAAGTATGATCAAAGCATAGCTTAAAATTAGCTTTAGAAGCAATTATGTTAATGGGACCACTTGGTTGCTTAATGTCAAAGTCAGAGAGCAACAGAAAAGAGAAGATATTAAAAAGCATTATTGATGGAAATTGACATTCAATTCAGGATGAGTTTATTCCAGTCTGAAGTATTTAGATATAATTCAAATGAAGTGAAAGAAAGCAGAAGTAGACCCGAAAATATGCAAATTATTATTTAAAACTAAATAAGGGTTTCCCAATACAGAAATTGAACTTTGAATATACCTATATTGACCCAATACAATATAAGTATAAGTGCCATGAGCATAAATGAATCATACATACTGTTTTTGCTTATTTTATAGGGTGGAATGATAGAAAGGCATGATTGAGTGATATTTCTCAAATAGAGAACAGAAGTCAACAACATCATGTGCCTTATTTCTTTTACACCAAAGAGCTGCATTAAGCTTAAACAAAGGCAGATTGAAGCAAAGTGTTTCTATGAGCTTTCTAATATCTCAGAAATTAGACACATGCCGGTATATTCCGATATACGGTATCAGACCGATTTCCGATATTAGTATCGGATTGGGACAGCCCTAGAAATAAGTAATGTAAACTAACATTTATGCATCCTTCAAATGTTTTTTTTTTACCTTCTCAATACATTTATCCTATGATCTGCTTTACAATTTGGTTAGTTTTAGATTCATATTACAATGGAGGAGAAATTAACATTCAAAGTTAGAAAGGAAAGGTGCAATTTCACAATTTTCATTTTTTACTTTACAATTTTGTAAATAATAAATATAAATAAACATATAAATTAATTAAAATATAATCATAAATATTTGTTTTTGCTTTATTTTTAATGTTGCTGTATGACAATATTAGCCCTACACACAAAACCCTCAACTTTGGGGAAATTATGGCAACTTCAATTTAACATGCTATTAAATAGTTCTATTTAAAATTCCTGAAAAATATTTTTACCCTTTCATCAAATATCCATTTATTTTCCTTTAATTCAATCAAAAGAATCCCTAATAATTAAAATACCTAATTATTGATTTTATGGTTGCATCTTGATCTAAAACTATAAAATAAGTATGTAAAAAATATAATTTAAATATACATTTCATATAATAAAACAGATTCTTATGCTTGTAGATTTATAACATGTAGACATTTTCATTTCTATATGTCTATTGAATTGCGACACTTTTTGAGCCTCCTTCCTGTAGAGTTGGAAGCATGAAATAAATAAATATCAAAATAATGGTTTCAGGATTTTATTATTTATTTGCTATGTTTATATATCTAAATACATTTTTATTTTTTATTTTTCAATTTTTTCTAAGGTTACTACATATTTACATTTGTATTCTACCGCCTATATTGGATTGCAGCAACCTATATTTGATAGTTGTAGTTTTCATAGAGACCTGGTTAAAAGACTACAAATCCCATGTTATAGTAGGAGGAACCTAACGTGCGGCGCACGAGCCCAGCAGCAGCAGCTGGCGCAGCCGAAGAGGCTACTTTGTCAAAGCCGAGCCACCGGAGAGAAAACGGCGGCGCAGATTGTGGCAGGAAAAAAAGTGTGAACTGTTTGGGGAAAACAGGTTGAACCGAAGAGCCTTCGGTGGAATTTTCTTATTGGTGGCTGTCTGATGAGCTCCCCATCGGACGTGAAGTTTTGTGTTTTCGGCGTCAGAGAGAGGTCTGTTTAAAAGTTGAGCCGCGGAGGAGTTCTCTCATTCAGGATGTCGGACTGAGACAAAGAGGGTCTGGGGGGCATTCCCGACGGAACGGTGAGAGCCACATGTATTAACTACTGCTGTGAAAAGTTTTACTTTGAAAGAAAACCGGCATTATTGTTGACATAAAGCTGCAGTTTTTAGTGTTACTGGAATGTTTTTCTTTGTTTTAAACCTGTGAAGAAAATTAGAGCACGATGGGACGGCATCTCGGTCTCACGTCGTGGTAATATTCTATTTACGAATTAAATTATGTGTTTTTTTTAATTATATTTATTTTTTCTGATTTATTTGATAGCTTTTAAATGGAAGATATGTTAAACGCTTTATAGAAACAATGTGACCCGCAGCGTGGCCGAGCGGACATTTAAATGAGCCATTTAAATATCCTCGCAGAGAAGATGGCCTGTGTTAGCAGAGTACTGCTGTTTAATTAGCACCAACATTGTTCTGGTTGGTTTATTTAAAAATATATATATACTTTAAATATATATTAATTTAGTTTTAGCATTATATTTTTCTGTAATTAAAAGATTAACAGAAAAAAACATAAATTATAGTGCTTATCTCAAGGATGTTGCCTGTAAAGCTGCATTAAAGCTGTAAATATCGCAGCTTTAATCACTTTTTGCCTTGTTTCCTGCACTTTGAGGTATCTTATCTTTGTCCCGTTTGGGATGCATCCATCTCAGCAGGTTAAACTTGATTGTGGTCGCCTCCCCTGAATGGGAAGGATGGAGAGGGAGCTGCAGTGGTGGAAAGGACAGCTGGCTTCAGACATCCATCAGTCCTTACGCAATAAGGTGAGTTAGCCTCCTATTAATTAATACATTGCTTTTATCTTTAATTGAATGTAAACCGCATTATGATCACGTGTGTAGTTTGAAATTGAAGTAAATAATTTTATTGGAATCTGCTGCTGTCATTAATGTGGATAGATTTACTTTAAAGCGTAAGAAAATTCCTGAATACTCATCATTAATATTAGATGGACTAATAGTCATTTAGATTTTACCATTAAAATAAAATCAGCTTTGAATTATTGTGTTAATTTTAATTGACTTGTAACAGTTCTTAATTAGGCAAAATGAAGATGATTTTTAACCATAATAATGGTAATGTAGCCCATTGTTGGCGGAAACAAAAAGGTAATCTGTTTAAATCCATTGCTAGTGTAAACCCCATGGTTGACTTCTAAAATACGGCTAAAAGCTCTGCAAGTTGTTCAAAATGAAGGATTTTGATATTTGATGAAAAAGGCTGAAAACCTCACCTGTGACTCTGTTCATTTGACATGTATGCTGTTTTTTTTTGTTTGTTTTTTCTCATGTTGGAATTAAGTGAAGTGGGATTTTCAGAATTGCACCATGCATTTAAAAAATAAGTAGTTTTTAATGGATTAGCACAGCCAGTGGTACACATGCAAATTTAATAACCGGAACAAAAATGACAGCCACAGACTCCTTGATAGTGACAGAGATATAATTACTGCCTTTTAGTTTGGAACAAGGAGGTTATTTTTTTGTTACACGTCTAAGTCAGCCTAGTTTTACAGGAACTTTTCATCCAAATATGTTAACTTGTTTTTTTCTATTGTTTTGATATTTTAAAATGAAAAGTTTAGACAAAAAATGACTGTATGTATGTTAGAAACATTTTCTAACGACTCATTGGGGGGAAAAAAATACCAGAAAGAGGAAGAGTTTCTTTTAAAGTGGCACCAGTATCATGTGTGTAGGTGAAAATGAGAACACTCTTTCAGTTTTAGTATTTAGCCGACCGATTGCACAAAGAAATTTACAATTAAACACGGGAAAATTTGTGACACATAAGTTGTAAACGGCTTAATAAAAAATTGTATGGATGTGGTGAAAATTGCAACAAAAAGTATTCAATGATTGTTCCACTCTTTTTAGGGATTAGAATAAATTAAAGTGAATCGACCTCTTTATAATCATACATTTATATTTTCTCCAATTAAAGAGCCAGGGAGAATATTCTGTATTGAAGCATGAATTGTTCTACATTATTTTTCACATGTAGCATTGTAGTTTAATCTTAAAAAGGAAGGTTACATTTTCTTTTATTCCAATGCACTGTATGTGGGCTAATTAAGTGTCTGTTCACATATCAGATTGGTTGATTGTCATCATAAAATGTGTTTAAAAATCCTTAATAGACAGAATATTATATTATTTAAAAAACTCATATTTGTGTTAATCAAAAATTGTTTTATATAAGAATAAGTCCCTGAAAAAAGTATAATGAAATATTTTTTATAATATTTGCATTTAATTGAGTACGTCTTGAAAAGCAGCCGCTGTTGCATATTTAAAGCTGGTTTTGACAGAGAATGACTCAGCCAGTAATATTGTTACCAAACAATTAAGAGTATCATCCCTAATGTTGGTAAAGCTTTTTGTTTGGTGTTGATGCTTAGTAAAAAACACTTTTTTTTTTTCTCCCTGGCAAACACTGTATTTGTAGCTTTTTAAAAACAAATATAAAATGTCTTATCAGAGAGAGGAAAGTAAAACATTCATGCTCTGTTTCCTTTTTAATCTTAATTTAGATATAACTCTATTACTAGATTTAGTAATTAGGAATGTGTTAATTATTCCCACTGCGTGATCGTGCCTTTCAGTGTTTCACCCTAATTGAGACATTTAAAAACTTGACTGGCATTTTCAACAGATGACCCCTGTGGAGCGAAAGGCCCTATGGGATATGAATATCAGGTGTCTATAAATTGTTTTTCATCTTGAGAAGAGTGATGGTTGTGGCATTTAGGAGTTCTAACCAGATGTTTTTCAGTCATTTGGATTCAGATTTCTCACGCTGGACATTGTCTGACTCAGAAAAAGGGAAAGAAAGAAAATCTGCATGGAGGCGGAAACTGACAGAACACCCACATTTTCTTTCCATTTACTATAATCAGAGAGCATTACTGTCAGCCTAATGCTGGGGTTTGGTCGCCCTACATCTGTGTTTCCCACTGCATCTTAACCAACAGTCCCAGTTTATTATGGTGTACCTTGTAGTACAATACCTTTGTTGAACACGGAAGAACACACTTACCATGACTCATATAAGAAAATCACTTTATTGTGTCCTCCTGTTTAAATCGTGGTGTGTTCAACTGAGTCAGCAGTGAGGATGCTCTGTAGAGGGTTTTTCCAGGTACAGAATACCACTCTGTTTTGCACTATATGATTCATAAATGATGATTCTGTATAATTTCCCCTTTTCTCTCGTGCATTTTTTTTGTTTTCTTGTTTTAAAAAAAATATACCTTAGCAGTGATTGCATTTGTCTTGAAATGCATTTCAGGAAATCTGATAAGCTATCATGTGTTATAACCTGTTGAACCTTCTGAAGCCATTACAAAGCATGTTTAAAGGGAAGAAAATAGGATGACATTAAAGGGTTCTCTGTATAGCCAGAAAAAAGCTTTTGTTAAAGGTTATGTCCAGTTGGTATTAAACCAAAAAAATGGCTAGCTTTAAAGAGAAAAAACAAGTATAAGGAATCTAAGATTATTAAAGAAAAATCCAAGTTACTAAATGTCTAAGACAGATTTAAACTGGGTCACATTTTAAGGTTTTAGGAATTTACTGCAAAACAAGCTCACTTATGACCAAACTTATGCTTAACTTAGAGTCAATAAAATCGCTGATGCTCTTGATATAAATGCTGCAACATATCAGAGTGTTTAAAAATTTAAAGGCGAACATAAACAAACTGTCTTGATCAGCAGAGATTGTTAGATATTCTCCTAATTGTTAGATATTTACTTAACCCCCACCCCATTAAAAAAAAAAAAAAACTACAGTGTAGTATTAAAAAATGGTGGAATCATTATCAGAGCCTCACACAGCGTTCAGATCTCCTGCATGGCGCCCGCACCCCCACCGTCTCATCCAGCCCTAATGACGTTTGCTGCAGTGATAATGCCCTGATGTGGGAGATAGCAGGGCTGTGTAGCATGTGGCAAATTATCAGACATGCAAATCAGCAGGCAGCTGTGGAATCCTTAATTACGGTGCGGTTCCCCCCACAAAGGCACTTCTCTGCTCCATGCAGACCCACCACCACCTCCCAAGCCCTCCAGACTGCAGCAGCCTCCTCCCTTCAACCATCCCCTCCTTCATCCCCCCTCCCTTCCTCCTGCTGCCCTTGCACCTCTAGACAGACAGATGGACCAGAGGCAGTGGGAGGGGAGGAGAATTTTGGGAGGATCAGTTGATATGGGAGTTAGAGGCTCTGGGGGTGGTGCTGCTGCTATAGATTGATGCAGGGAGGGGGGGGCACTGTTTATTTTTGGATTCCATTGAAGTGTCAGTCGGAGCATTGCCCTGTTCTTTTTTGGGGGGGGTAGGTGTGCCCAAAAAAAAACAGTTTGAAACTTGACTGTGTTAGCAGTTTTGCCCTCACTGCAAATGCTATTGACTGTAAACATGTTTTCATGAGAGCTTATCTTAAAACTTGGCTACTCTCCAGCTAGCAGATATTTTTGATATAGAACAATATACCAGCTGTTTAATGAGCAAGAGTCTTTCCAACCAGCAGAACTCACTGTAGAAATGATAGGAAATTATGCCACTTCTTTGAAATTTTGCTTTAGTCAGGCAATGCACATAGAAGTATATACTTTCCTGATTGTGTACACATTGATCTACCTGATGGCATTCTCTAATCAAACCTATATTATTGTTTGTCAACTCTTATTTAAAAGGTTTTCAGCATTGTAAAAGGTAAAGGCTGATTTATACTTTGAAACTAGGCCGTCTGCCTAGGTGTCGCAGTGAATAAAGACGTCTGCGCCCCCTCCGCAGACACTCTGCTGCACCTTTCCCAAATTGTAGGTGACCGCAGACAGGAGGTCCGCTTGTTTTGTTTGTATGACCGCAATTGCGGAAAACAACTCGTGAAGTTTGACCAGCTTGAAGAGCGAGGTGCGTGAAAACGCTGGGAGCCTTTTTCCACCTGGATCCCTGCTCTTTTTCGCCCTCATGTCCCTCCGTTGTCGCACAAACTTGCCCCCACTTCCTCACCGCCTCGGCCGTATCTGCAGGGAGTATAACCAGTCCTTAACCCAGCTTAAGCGTTTTTGGCTGCTCTATAAATGCCCATGTGCCATTTTAAAGGTTTTTGGATTCGCAGGCAACATTTTTTTTCTTTCTAGCTTAGTTGAAGGTGATTCAGAAAGAAACCCTAGGCTGATCTAATGCTAATGCCCAAGAGTGTCTTCTTTCCACTTTGAAACACATGCAGCTAATTGAACATGAATAGGAGATGTGTTAGGGGTGAAACCTAATCCTATCTGCTGCTGAACTCTGGCAGAGGAAGTCCCTCCCTCCCCAGGCTACACGCTCACAAACCCTAACCCATTGTTCAAAGCTGCCTGCAATGATCCAAATTAGCTTCAGCTTTCTGTAGCAGTTTCAAATTCAGCAAGGCTGAATCATTTCTTTCTAATGTTGAAACTATCTCTCTTTATGAATGTTTTCAGCATACTTAAACTCAGTCAATGGGAGATGTGAAAAGATCACTATTATCATGCATACCAATATCATCCCAACTTCCTGCCCACCCTGCTCCTATCACCCCCTGTTGTTTTTTTAACATGTCTCATCTTTCTTTTCCCCTTCCCAGGAGCTGAAGCTGCCTATCTACCGGGCCCACTCTCCTCAGATTGGAATGCGGCGCTACTTTGCAGACTTGCTGGCCATCTTAAGCAACCGATACCAGCTGTGTCCCACTGCACGTCACCTGGCCGTCTATCTGCTCGACCTGTTCATGGACCATTACGATGTTGCTGTGAAACAGCTCTACATCATCGCCCTCTCCTGTTTGCTGCTAGCCAGTAAGTTCAGGAACTGTTTTAAGAACCTTATTAGTTTTAAGTAGGTTCCTTTGTTGGAAGGAATATTGAGAATTTTGTCTTTCGTTGCCTTACAATAGTTAGTTTTATTTTGAAAATGGTGCGTTATTTCATCTGGATGTAAACAGCCGCTTCAGCTGGATCTCTCAGCCTAAAGCTTCTGTGGTTTCTGCTAAAGGTGAAGCATTTCCTGAAAAAAAGGCTAATTTAAGCATCGCAGTAGAGACCCTCAGACTTCACTCTCACAGAAAGTGAGAGTAACACATTTAACACTCATTTAACATTGGGCGTTAAATGTGTTAGAAATAAAAACAGTTCAATGTGATTGAAGCAAGTTTGACAACTTTAAGAATGTGCATTTGAATTAGTATTTTTTTTTCTTGTGTGGGGGTTGGGCGGTTAGAGATGGACCACTGAGATTTTTTGGTTTATGTATGTATCAATGCATTGAATATATTTAGAATCTATGAAAGGTATTATGAAGAGAAACTTTTCTCTTATTTATAAAGAATTGACTTGTTGTTTATATTAGGATAAAAGGTGAAAATATGTGCCAGAAATTAGTCTTTTGCGCAGATTTTAGTAAAGCAGGGTTTTACTATTGAAGCAGAAATCCTTATAGATTGGATGGGCATTTTAATTAGTAGCAGTTTGCATGTTGAGCAAAGCTAGTATTACCTTTTGTCTATAGTGTCTATAGTGTCTATGCCTTGTAGAGTTTGTCAGTATCCCATAACTGGGAGATTTCCACCATTTACAATTGCTTTATGTTCTTTAAAAAACATAATTATTCTCCTAAAAATGATGAACAGGGCAGTTTTGATGTAGGATCTTTATCTTCATCATCTTCTTTATCTTTTATGATTTCCTTTGTAGCTGAGAGTAAAACCTGCTGAAGATGAAGAGGAAAAAAAGGCTTTAAAGGAGATTTTGGTCTTAGAACTGGAAATATTTTGGTGTTCTAACAGAAAGTTCCTCTTTTAAATCATAGTTTGCTTACAATTAGTTATGTTTTTCTTTTTTCTCTCTTCTCGATAAATCTTTTTCCAGCTATTTTTTTTTGTGCTTTCAATTTTTCCTCTTTTGCTGTGAAATCTTGGTATTTCTTTTAGCTTTGTGTTGAAGCAGGTGCGTTAATCATTCATATCCTGCTGATGCACGGTGCAGGTTGCTTGGTGGTTATTACTGTCTCAATGTCTGTCTGGTGATTAGCAGACTGTGAGCTTTTTTCATGCATTAATGCAGCCCTTGGCATCATGGATAATTAGACTAATGATGCTGTCAGAATGGGAGTCTGGAAGAGAGCATGTTCACTTGGGAGTATGTGTGTGTGTGTGAGGGGGAACATGTGAGTTGAAACAGACTATCTTCAATCAGAAGTCACCATGTTTAGATGATAAAATAATTTCTAGAGATTGTAAAATAGATTTTAGAGTCATTTAAGTTGAGTTTTTTTGTCCAGACCTGAGTGGAGTTTTGTTTAATGAATCTCTAACACATTAATTAGACTTTGTATTGAATCTTCTAATCGTAGCTTTCATTTGCTGTGGCTCTCTGTTCTCCTTTGCTCCTCCAGCACTCGGGGGAATCTCTGTCATGATTGATGAAGGCTTGAAAGGCCCCTTGATTCACAGTTGACTTAGGTTTTCATCTGTCTTGAGGTGCTTTGGAATCTGGCCTAGTTATTGAACAACCTGCCTGGGTCTCACTGCTCCCCTCTGAAACACTATTGTCTTTCTTTTAACTTTCCTGCCTTCTGCACTTGTTTAATTAATCTGTACCCTCTTTGTGCCTCTCAGCAGTCACTGGCTAATCCTGTTACTCTATTGTGTGTGTGTTTTTTGTGGGCACTAATGTGTGTGTGGGTTTGTGTGTTAGCAACAGATGAGTTCCTCTTCCTTTTACAGGACAGAGATTATAGTCGGATTTTTTAAAAACCTTTTAGGACCAATTGTTATTTACTGCAGGCCATTTATTTAGAGATACTGCCTAGCTTTGAGAGCGCTTTTAACCCCCCCACAAAAAAAAAGGCCACTCTGGGCAGAATCCATCATCCCAGAACCACGAAGTTTCCTTTGTGTTACATTCCATGAAGTCCTGCAGTGATCACATCAGTCTTCCTGCCCAGTTTAAGTCCACAAAGTCAGAGCTTTGCATCCTGCAGCTGTTTTTCTGTATAGATGACATCATTACTGTGTTTGTCAGCCAGAACAAAAATGTTATTGTATTTTCTATTTAAGCTTGTTTTTGTTCTTTTCTGCTTATTCCGGATTAATGCTCTTGTCTGGATTTATCGCTGAATGTTATTTTTTTAGTTAAAAAAAAATAGATCAGCTTGATGTAAAAAGCTTGTATTAGAAAAACAACAACAAGAACAATAAAGAACAGCCTGCTGAAACCACTGAGCACATGAGGCACAGCCATGTTGACCACAGGGTGCACATACACGGATGTCGGAGCCCGGGGGTGGGGACGAGCTGTGTGCTGAGGGGCACCTGCCATATGCTCTCCGAGTCAGACCTCAAACAAAAGCCAGTCAATGCAAGCAGGCCGGCCAGCCCCTTCCCAGAGAGGGGGGAAGGGGAGCACACTCTGAGGAGTGGAGGTTATTGTGTATGTCTGCATGGAGCAGGGTTTACCATAAGACAAGCAACCAGGAGGATGTGGTCACCATGACAACTAAATTATTTTCTTTCTAATGGATATATATATATATATATATATATATATATATATATATATATATCAACACGAAAAACAAACAAACAAATGGCTTTTTAATGCTAGGCTTCCAGTTGCATTTTCGTTTTCTGCTGCCTGCACCATTTCATCCATGCTTCTCTCACCTTGTCAGGGTTGGGCACAGAGTTGTCCCGGGACAGAACTCCCTGTAAAACCAACCCCACATTCCCCGGGGGCTAGGAAGTGAACAGAGCAGCACTTCAAAGCTAGTTTGGCTGCTGATGTTAAACAGGGTGAATTGAGGCAGAGGGGGTGGGAGAGGTGGTGAAACATGTTAGAACTTCACCACCCAACAGGGTGCCCTGAAATGCAGAATAACAGGGATATCACTTCTCTCCTCATTCCTTTCTCAAAGTCAAACCAATCACATGCAGGTCTCTTACATTTAAGAAACCCTTGAATGAAATACAGACTAGTTTTAAAGGTAAACACTGTGAAGGAAAGCAGAAAACTAAATGCCTCTGCCAAATGAGAATCGAGGTGCTCGCGTCTCATTGAATCCCACCCAAAACTCTTGACACGCATATGCATAGAACAGGGTTTCTGCAATTCTCTATGTTCACCCAAGCATTCAGATTTTTGGGTCAGAGGTTAGCTTGAGACTACATTGTCAGAGTCCCCGGGTCCTGGGGCAACAACACAGAGATTAAGTGATGGAGCTGTGACCAACTTCTTGCTCCCAGTGACACATAAAGGATGGATCAGGAGAAGAAGTCTCTTTATGGCCGTCAATTCAAATTAAAAAATAGAAAACAAACAGATGGAATAATTAAGAATACTTTAGGAAGTTAACATCAACCTCTGCATTTGCAAAAAGGTAAATAAATGATAGGAAATAGATTAAACATTCTAGCTATATTAATGTTTCAACTTATCTCTAAATTTTGTAATGAAATAAAAATTGATGCTGTGTTTAAGTTTTTCCCATTTAGTACCTTTATGCCCCATAAAAAAACAAAAGGTAAATGACTTAATAGTTCCCTGACTATCTGCTTTTATATATAATAAGCTTAAAGATGTTATATTTACCATTAGTTTCATCTTAGACGCTCCTGAAATATTTATTTAATGTATTTTTTTAAGCCTGGACACTTTCGCACATGAGCTATTTGGTTGAATTTAAACGGACCAGAGTTTGTTTTCTTGAATTGTTTGTTTTGTTTAGTGAGAGCTAGCTTGCAAATCAACTCAGCTGCAGTTCACTTGCTGTTGGAATGCAAACCAAGAAGAGGAAGCGAACCAGCTGCAAATATCCAGTGTGCAGAGTAACATGCTGGCCATCTCTTATTGGGTTTTTTTTGTAAAAAAAAAAAAAAAGCAAGTATTTTAGAACATGAAAGTAGAGCTGGAGACCTCAAGACGGCATTAATGTGCTGTTGCGTCATGGCTTGTTTTGGTTGTAAACAAGCTTGCTAAGCAGGGTGGTTTTCTTCTTCCTCTACATGCCTACCTCAAACGTCTGCTTGTTTCCATCAGTTCAGTCACGAACAAGGAGTTGCTCTAACAGTGTAAAGATTTTTCATGTAGTTTTGTTCATGTGATATTAAATAAAACCAAATAAAGGACAGAACATTTTCACCAATTGATGAACCAGGTTTTCCCGACTATCCTGATATATATAAACACTTTGAGTTGATTATTTTGTATCACAGAATCCGCTGTCTGAGAATACGTTCCTCAGTTTTACCATCAAACCCTTATCAGTTCCAGCCTATTTCCACCTTGACCCTTTTCCCAAACAGCACACCTGGGACAAGCCTCTGCATCCTGGTCTCACCTCTTGCTAACCCTTGACCTCTTAGCTATGTCTGTTGACTCGTCATCCCCATCATCTGTAGCTGCTGTGAGAAATGATAGATTGCTTGTGTTGGCTGCGTATGGAGGGGCAGCTTCTGGAGATAAAAAAGGAAGCTTGCTTTTTCCCTTTGCACTACTCATCTGTCTCTTCTTGCTTGCTGAGATGAGATAGGATCAGTTTGCTGCCTTCTTTCCAGGTGAGCTGAACTCAGAAGAGAGGAATGCACCATCTAGCTCAGCCAAGACAAAACTGATAGGAGCTCTTGTGGTTTAGGTTTGGTGCAAAAGAGCAACAGAGGATCAAATACATGCACAAAGTCCAGTTTGATAGATCTTGTAATGGTTAATATAAAAGGCATGACTCTTTACTGAGGTTAAATCTAACCTGTGTCTATTTAGCCAGTATTTAAAAACAATAGATTTATCACTGTCTGTAAAATTTAGTTTGAATGTTCCCCAGGTTTAAATGCAGATGGTGAATATCTCCAGTGTGAGAACAGTAAAGTTAAATTCTTATTATAAAGTTCAATTATTGTTATTATTAAATTAAAATAGTAACATTTACAGATGGTTTCATGGTGGTTTGGATGTTAGCACTGTCACCTCACAGCAAGATTAAGCACTGAGTGTTACTAATGTTTTGTTTTTTACTCTGAGGGTCTTTCCTGATTACACGCAGCCTGTTTCCGAGGGTCCCCAACAAGATAAAGCTGCTTTAAAATGCTAAAAAAAATTATGATTTCAAAGTAGTAAGGTTTAGTAAAAAAATGCCTCTAATGTGTTTATTTCCAGCAGCATAATATCATTTAGATTTGATAGAAATCTCTGAGTTGGATGTTTGCTTTACCAGTTGTTTCTAAAACTGCAAATTAAACTTTTTTCCACAGAACACCTACAAGGTCCCAAGTGTTTCCTGCTTGAGATTTCAAAACATCAACAATCAGCTTTCACATAAAACATGGTCTTCTCTAAATCGTTTGGTTTTGGGTTGGTTTGTTTTCAATTGTACCGAGACTTTTGATCTGATAGCAAGAAAATAAAAACTGACATTAGAAGGTTTGTGGATTTTAGATATCCTGTTTATTAAACACATATTCAAGTTAAAAGCAGGTTATGGTATTTTTGTTCTCATGTTGCAAACTTCGCAACTTTCCCTTACATCCAATCTCCAGCAGGTGACCTCTGTTCTCTGGCAGAGGTTGTTATATACTCAGCTGTCGTTCTTTTGCAGCCAGCTGAAGTCATTTGCTTTTTCGCCTTCTTTTTTTAAGATGCATTCTCATCAGTAATTCTGTTGGTGGCTCATCCACAACTGTGGCGAACACTGAAGGGAACTGGTTGGATTATGTCTCAACTTCAAAGACCCTTGCTCTATGGGTTGTTTCTGGGGGGATGGCTTTTTATGGCTGTTTTTGTGGACATCTAGCGGCATGCATAGCACTGATCTTGAGGATACAAGGGTGAGAGAATGTAGCAAGTGTGCAGTGAGACGTGGAACGAGTCATGGTGGCTGTAAACGGCTGTGTTTCTTATTGTGCTTCCTGTTCTGCAGTAGAAACGCTAATTACACATTACTCCCACCTCCCTGCTCTTCGGGCTGCAGCTCCCTGCCTTTCACACGTCCTAGCCTCCTGCCCTGTTTAATGATAGGTCACAACACTGGTGATAAAACTTACGAGGGGCAGCAAGATGCTCCTCTAGACGTGGGGATAAAGGGATCAATGGGTTCTTCAGTATGTCAGGCAACGGCTCAGAGTGTTTCCTTTGACTCTAACTCAGTAATGCCAATAAACACTCCTATCTTTAATGTTTGGTTGCCATGGTTTTAGATCAGAAGATTAACTCCACTGAGGCTTTTTGTTGTTCTCAGCTTGAAACGTGACATTTTTATCCTTAGAGGGCGTCTAAAACAGTCTCTCTCTGATATGTCCCTGCAGTGGTGCATAAGCAGCTTGTTTCATTGAGTGTGGCAGATGCATAAATCTGCTGTTGTAATCAGCAGCAACCTAAACAGTGTTGGTCAGAACTTGGAAATCTCTTTTTAAAATGCTTTCTGGAACAGTTAGTGTTGTTTTTAATTTTAAAATTTAGAAAAGTTTATGTACTACTGATTTATTCTATATTTCCCTCATACCAGCACTGATTAAGCCTTTATATTTAAGGAGCTCCTAAGTCTAATTTAAAGTCCTCTCTGGAAGCTGTGTCTAGTTTTAATGTGTGGCTGTATCAGAGTAACCTGACACCCTCCTCGCCCTCATTCCTAATTTTTGGAGAGGCGGCCTCTTGGAGCCTCGGATTAAAGGCAGGAACAACCCTCTTCATTGGCCACATGGACCCCTGAGGCCCCGGGGCTGTTGCTATGGAAAAAAAGTAGCTCTTAAAATTGAGAGGGAGTTAATCACAGCTACATAGTTCTTGACTGTGAGTTTCTGGATGAAATTTTAGCTCTACTTCCTGGATATAACCAGGTTCTCTAAGTTATTTACTGTGTTGGATGTTTTTTAGGAGTTGAAAGCTTAGGTCCTTATTTTTAATCTAACAGTATCATTGTTTTCAATCCTTCATCAAATTTTATGCTATTATAGTGATTATTGCTGCAAAAATTGATGCAGCTATATAGTACTCTCACTAACAGTGTGTGTTATTAATACTGTAAAATATTTTAAAATGAAATATTTGCATGCAAATCAGATAAACTCTTAGTGCAGTTGGCACAGCTGCTGTTCTCTAAGAAACTCAACCTCAAAGAGAGCCTAGTTGGCATTATAAGAATATTTACATCACCTTTTACCATGTTGATATCATGCAATTTTCAAAAAATTAGGTTAGCCATTAGTAATAATAAATAAAAAAAACTGAATTTAGAAAAAAAAGAAAATATAGTTATTAAAAAAACATGAACACAATCCACACACCCACCCTTACGCCTGGTTTCAGTATTCCATTGGGGACTTTCCATGGACTTCCATTCATTTGTTGGCAAGTTTTACAGCCTAACCGTGACCCTAAACCTGACCATTATGGCTTCATACCTAAAGCTAGTCCTAACCTAAACTGTGTTCAATGTTCAGTAGGACAACTGCACCTGTTGACAGATATGTTTGTTCACTGTTCATGAGCAAGGTACTTACATTTGTCTGGGATGTTTTTTTTTTTTTTTTTTTTTAACTTTTTGTAGAATATTTTTTTAAATAGAAATTCAAACACAATATTTTATTTGACTAAATTATCATTCAGTAAACTTGTATTTATTATTACCTGTGTGAATTTAAAATTTTTTTTAATGGGGGGATGCAAGCATAACATCTATATATGTGTATATATGTGTGTATGTTTGTTTATTTATATATATATAAATATATATATATATAAAATTATTTAATGGTTTATAATAATTTTTTATTTTCCGGTAATCCTCCATGGCATTTAATGAGATGAACTACCTGTTGTTAAATTACATACTTTTGTGTTTATCTTGACTTTTTCTTTTTTTTTTTTTTTCTAGGTAAGTTTGAGGAGAAGGAAGACCGGGTCCCTAAACTAGAGCAGCTGAACTCTCTCGGCTTCATGTGCAGCCTGAACCTGGTTCTTAACAAGAAGGATCTGATCAAAATGGAGCTCCTGCTGCTGGAGACCTTCGGCTGGAACCTGTGTTTGCCCACACCTGCCCACTTTATCGACTACTACCTCCATGCCGCTGTGCAGGAGGGCGACCTCTACAACGGCTGGCCGCTGTCCTCGCTGTCCAAGACTAAGGCTTTTATGGACAAATACACTCACTACTTCCTGGAGGTTTCACTGCAGGGTGAGTTTCAGAGGAAAGGATGTAAATAACTGAGACTTCCAGCTAGTAAAGACTGAACAATAAGAATTTTTTTTTTCTTTTTGTAGATCACGCCTTCCTGAATTTTAGACCCTCTCAGGTCGCTGCTGCTTGCGTTGCAGCATCCCGTGTTTGCCTTCAAATTTCCCCTAGCTGGACAACTGCTCTTCATCTACTAACAGGGTACTCCTGGGACCACCTGACCCCATGCATCGAGCTAATGCTGCTGTAAGAGATGCACAAACACACACAAGTAAAAGAAAATCAGATAACTAGTAGGCCTTAAAGACTAGAATATAGATTTTCAGGCCAAGTCGGGCCTTGATGTCATGCAGGTTGGTCGGGTGCGGCTTGGGTTGGATGAGGTTCTGAGTAGGGCTGCAACTAACGATTATTTTAAAAATCGATGAATCGGCCGATTATTTTTTCGATTAATCGATGAATCGGACAAAAAATATTTTTTATATTTTATACTCTTTATTCCAAAATAAACATTTTAGACAGAACAAACCACCACACATGTACAGGTTGCTCATTAACTGTACTGGTGCAATATGGAAAATAAATGTGTTAAAACTACGCAAACTTATATGAGAAATGTAGCTGTACATCCACAAAATATAGGGTACTTTGTTTCAGAAAGTGCAAAAAGAGACATTTTTTTTTTAAAGCCCCTAAGGGGTTCAAACAACAGCCCCTCCCCCCATTTCAACAAATGAGGTTTTTTTAGACTAGAAGAGTTCTGCCTTTTAAGACAGG